ACTTTCCTCTCCTCTAAATGTTTCATAATTGATTCCTTGAGGACCTGCTCCATGATTTTTCCAGGGACTTAATAGGTACTTAACAACTAACTAATAAATGATTAAACTATTTACAGCTAGAAGCACAAGGCTAAGATAGAAGAGAAACCGCTGACTGTTTGTGAAGCAAGGGACAGAGGCACTCCGACTGACCACCATGGGCAGTAAGAAGGAACTGAAAGGGCGCAGGACCGGCGGCGCCTGATATACCAACGCATAAGCATGGCAATCCAGAGGGCACCACAGCCGGCCCTACGGGCACCACTAAGCAAAAAGTCTCCAACGACTGTGCATGTGGGCACGGGTGCACATCTACAATGAAATCAATATGAGCAAGCACTCGAAGAAGAATCATATTTACTTTACTAACCTGCTACGTGTTTTCAAATTGCTCATACGCTAAAGTGATTAGAACTAAAGTTCTCAAAGTATTTTTGGTTTTCATTTAAATCTGACAGGAAGAAAACACTGATGTCAAATGCTAGTCCCTTAAAATTCTCCTTTAGGGTCACTTGAAACCCTGATGAGGTTACAGAGTGAATGAATGATGTAAAACATTATTTTAAGTTAATCACAAATACAGCAAAAATATGCAATCCTCAGCGCAATGCAAGTAATTAAATTAATAAATTAAACAAACTCTAAAATAACATTACACACTGGAGAGCTGAACCACTTTCTTCCATTCAAAGGAAGACATTCCCATCATTCAACATGCCAATAATCCTGCTACGCTGGCAGATTGTTGGGCTTGAATTCTGGTATAGCAGTGCTTTATATATTGGTAGTAGAAGATACTTAATGAACAGAACTATAAACCATAGAGTCGTTACTTTTATTTACATCTTTACAGATGAACTTTACATTAGGTTTCTTACTCCTACTGTAAAATGAGAGAAAGATTTTGTATGCGACTGGGAAGCACTTGTCTCACTATGTAGTAGAATAGGGCAATACCAGATAAATGATAGACATTGTGGAAAAATTTCAAAGATTTAGTTAATATTTTGTTAGAAATTACTTTCTGTAGATTTGTTGACCTGTGTGTGATGTTTTGGCCAGGTTTAGGGTGCTCATCAATTTAATAGTTTTGACTGTTTAATTTTCATTTGATTGTGTGGGAAGGTTAGTGAGAGCACACTATTCAGAGATGCACACCAAGGTCTGTTGGTCTGAGATTCTGAAGAAATTACTACTGTAACTTTAGGATCTGATTGTGATACCCTTTATCATGCTAAGTAGTATTTGCTCCTGCAGTAATCCATAGAAATGAATTGGACTTCTCATGTAGTAAAGGACTACTCAGTGTGATTAAGGTCACGATCAGACCCTTAATCTTTACCTAGGTTAGGTCTTTACTTAGGCCTGGTCTAACTAAAAAGTCAGGTCGACCCAACTAAGTCGGTCAGGGGTGTAAAAATAATCCTAACTCCCGGTGCACACAGAGCAAAGAGCAAAGTCAACCCAAGAATTCTTCCATCAACCTAGCTACTGCCTTTCAGGGAGGCAGATTACCTATGTCACTGTAGCATTTCCACTGTAGACAAGCACTTATGTTTTATTTCCTGTTTCTTGGTCTGATTCAAGGGAATGCAAGGCAAGATACCGGAATAGCAAGATTTAAGCATTTTGTGATAATTTCATATACCAGTTCATAGCTGGTGTTTCACTAACATTATAAAAGTATTACTAATGCTAAATGAAAGGTGAAAATTACCATGTGATATAAGTACGCGTAAACTCTCCAGCTTCCCATACTGAGCAGCAATGAACAGAGGTGTGATTCCAAAGTCATCCACACATTCCTTGTTTGCTCCTTTTTCAAGAAGCAATTTTATTATTTCAGTATGTCCCTGAAATAAATATATTTTGTTTTGTTAGAAAAAGAGCAGTGGAATTGATATAACCCTGCTTTTTCATTCTTACTCTGTGTATAAATCTAAAATATAGAGTACATTCAATATTCTATGGTATTCTGAAAGTCTGTGGCAGAATCATCAGATAGGTTTTATTTCATCTTGCACATTTACCCAGTCCAATAAATACACCGCTACCTCGATATAACGCGACCCGATATAAAACGAATTCGGATATAACGCGGTAAAGCAATGCTCCGGGGGGGTGGGGCTGTGCACTCCAGTGGATCAAAGCAAGTTCAATATAACGCGGTTTCACCTATAACATGGTAAGATTTTTTGGCTCCCAAGGACAGCGTTATATCGAGGTAGAGGTGTATAAATAGAATTAAATTAGCATATTGGAACTATAAGTCTGATAAATTTTTATGCTGGATAAAAAAAAATTCAGAAGAGAGCAGGTTGGCCACATCTATGATACAATGAAAGTCTTCCCCAAAAAATTAAGTGTATCTTATAACAGATTTACTTCCCAAATATTATATCTGATCACTTTTTAAGTACATGCAGTATTATTAATACTTAAATAATCATTGCTGCCTAACACCTTCTATCGCTGCTGTAGCATACTATGACATATTCAGAATGATCATTAGCATTTAGACTGCCTTTTCTGCCCAGCCTAACAATCATAAATCATCAGAGTAGGAAGCAAAAACTGTACAACCTGTCCTTTTAAAAGGGTAAAACACACTATTTACATGGAAATGAAATAATAAATTTATAGGTTACCTGAAAAGAAGCTTGGTGCAAAGAATTCCATCCAGACCAAGAATGGGATCCATTAATATTTGCTCCATGTTGAAGTAGAAGCTTTATAATTTCTGGATGTCCATTTTCTACAGCTTCAAACAAAGTAGTAAAAAATTACTCTTACCAAAGAGGCAGAATTGAAGGAACTGGTCAGCTCAGTGGTTTAGTCATCAAATTTTCACCTCAGTAATCAGAACTGTTTTACAGCCCTACAGCAGACATCAAAACTAATTCACTTTGAGTGACTGTGCAGCTTTGATTACAGATCTAAACCCAAACACACAAAATTTACTCTCTAAGGCTCTGCATATGAAACAGAAATTATATCTAGCGTTGCATCTTTGTGAAGCAAAACATTTAGCCTAACCAAAAGAAGGCTGAGGGGAGATATGATTGCTCTCTATAAATATATCGGAGGAATAAATACCAGGGAGGGAGAGGAATAATTTAAGCTCAGTGCCAATGTGAACACAAGAACAAATGGATATAAACTGGCCATCAGGAAGTTTAGATTTGAAATTAGACGAAGGTTTCTAACCATCAGAGGAGTGAAGTTCTGGAACAGCCTTCCAAGGGGAGCAGTGGGGGCAAAAGACATATCTGGCTTCAAGAGTAAGCTTGATAAGTTTATGGAGGAGATGGTACGATGGGATAGCCTAATTTTGGCAATTAATTGGTGTTTGACTATTAGCGGTAAAAATGCCCAATGGCCTGTGATGGGATGTTAGATGGGATGGGATCTGAGTTACTACAGAGAATTCTTTACTGGGTGTCTGGCTGGTGAGTCTTGCCCACATGCTCAAGGTTTAGCTGATCACCATATTTGGGGTTGGGAAGGAATTTTCCTCCAGGGCAGATTGGCAGAGGCCCTGGGGAGTTTTCGCCTTCCTCTGCAGAGTGGGGCACGGGTCACTTGCTGGAGGATTCTCTGCACCTTGAAGTCTTTAAACCACAATCTGAGGACTTCAATAGCTCAGACATAGGTTAGGGGTTTGATGCAGAAATGGGTGGGTGAGATTCTGTGGCCTGCGTTGTACAGGAGGTCAGACTAGACGATCATAATGGTCCCTTCTGACCTTAAAGTCTATGATTCTATGATAAGCTCCAAGATGGAGACATTGATAACTATCTTTTAAGAATATGATAGTCAGTACATGGATAATGAACATAAAGTACTATCAATCTGATAATGTGGTTCACAGGGAACAAAAGTTCCAATGTACAGCAAAACTAACATCTCTTTCTCCAGCAGGTGGAGGTCTATGGAAACCATAATTTAAGGAAACATCTGCTAGTAATTTTAATTTCTCCTCTTCCTCAATAATTTTTAACTTAAAAACACAACAAACATTGTACATATGGAAGTTAAGCCCTTAGTCCACATTGGTGTAAAATTACATCAACACCAGTGGACATACTCCTGATCATACTCTGTGATGAGAGATCACAATCAGCCACACTAGCCCTAGAGACAACTTCCCATTTACCCTCACATTTAGCATGAAGACAAGGAAGTGGAACTAGAGTATGTGATGACACTTACTAGTGTACCAATATTGCAGACACCGCTGAAAATGAAATACCCATAACAGAGAGTGATTGTTGATTACAGGAAAGAATAGAGTCACGAATTCTGGGTTCTATTTGTAGCTCTACCACCAATACACTGTGTAACCCGCAGGTAAATTGAGGAACAAAGATTACATGATCTGACTATATGTAAAATAGGTATGATACAACCTTCAGTACATAATTTCTTGGAGAGTTCCTAAGCTTAGGAAATATTTGTAAAAATTTTAAAAGACTTCTAAATCCTATAAAGTGTAAAATAACAACCTGTAAAATTCCATAGAGGACCTCATAGAATCACACTGAAAAAAAATAAGTTTCTACAAAATGCATCTTCTTAGTTCATGTTTACTAAATTTTCAATCCAATTTTATTTTTCCAATCTCTGTCTACGTCAATTTAGCTTATTAAAATCAAACTGCTCGGTATCTGCTTTATACATTTATTGCCAACACTTAGTAGCAAAAATTATTCCACAATTTGAACTTGTTTTCTAGTAATCAGGCTGCAGTGGTGATATATGAAATCAATAGTCGGTCAGTAGTTTTTCTAGAGTTAGGTCGATATGAGTTAGTTACGGGGGATATGACAGGTCTATAAAATCATGACTGGTGTGGAGAAAGTAAATAAGGAAGTGTTATTTACTCCTTCTCATAACGCAAGAACTAGGGGTCACCAAATGAAACTAATAGGCAAAAGGTTTAAAACAAAAACAAAAAAGGAAGTATTTCTTCACACAACCCACAGTCAACCTGTGGAACTCTTTGCCAGAGGATGTTGTGAAGCTTAAGACTGTAACAGGGTTCAAAAAAGAAGGAGATAAATTCATGGAGTCCATCGTGGAGTTCAGCAATGGCTATTAGCCAGGATGGGCAGGGATGGTGTCCCTAGCCTCCGTTTGCTATAAGCTGGGAATAGGCAACAAGGGATGGATCACTTGATGATTACCTGTTCTGTTCATTCCCTCTGAAGCACCTGGCATTAGCCACTGTCAGAAGAAAGGATACTGGGCTAGATGGACATTTGGTCTGACCCAGTATGGCCATTCTTCTGTAAAAGAGGTACTTTTTTCTGTAAAAGAGGCCATTCTTTGTCAAAGAGAGGGGTCTTGCACTACACAGTGAAGCAAACTTGGGATGTGGCAGAGGTAGTAAAGTTCCAAAACAAATCACAAATGCCCTACCTCTAATCCAGAATCATATAAAGACCGTGAGCAGAAGTTCCTCAGCAGACCTCAGTTGGCATGATGGTGCACAGGAAGAGCTGCAAACTCTAAGACAGCTAAATGCCATACCACAGAAGATTTTGTAGATTAAAACTAATTATTTGAATTGTAATCAGAAGCAGATGGGAAGCCAGTAAAGTGCATGGCACACAGGCCTAATGTGCTCATGGCTGATCCACTGCACTGTAAGCATGTTGCTACTGCATTCACCATTGGCTAAAGTTTCCAAGTGGTCTTCAAGGGTAACCCTAACTGTGAGAAAATGAAGTAGCCCAAGCCTAAAAGTGATAGAGGCTTGGATGACTCGTAAGATCTGCTTCGGTGAGGAAAGGCTGCAACACTTCAACCAACCACAAAGTCAAAAAGCTTTATGTACCCCTTTTGCTAGTTGGGAATCCAAGAGAAATCTTGGGTTCAAATTACCCCAAACTGTTTTGGCATGGATGGGATTCATTTCATGAATAAGTGGAGCAGTTACAACCCTCACTAATTTCTCTAGATTACCAACCAAACAAATACATCTCTGTTTTACCCAGATTAATTATACTGCTCTACAGCCAAAATGCTTCTGAAATAAATGTAGTCAAACTTTACTAATTCTGGGTCACTGAGAACGAAAATGATGCTTAAAATTGTTGATTGGCTCTAGTTTTCAAGATATGCTATTGGGTCAGTATATACGACCCTTGACTTGGGAATGGCGGAGGATACGTAAGCTATAAATGGAAGGGGTCTCAATTTAAACCCGCAAAAGACCAAAATACATCTTTGACTGGATCTATGAATAAATCTATGACTGGGTTTGGAAA